AAATTCAGACAATATTTCCTCTGTCTTGTCCATGTTGTGTTCTTCGCAAGACAACACAAATTCACAGCACACAAGGCCAGGCTTTTCTTGGAATGGATTGAGTTTCTATTTGGGGAGATGATGTAATACGGAGAAAGTACTCGCTGATTGGCTAAAGCTCGGCTCACTAGCCAAAATGCCGGACGCACTTTACAAAAATACGCTCTGGGAGCAATCAATCCGGCTTAACGTGCCGAATTCTATTTGAACCCTTTCTCTAAAAGTAACTAAAGTATACCAGTACGTATTCACGCACGTATTTACAGATACGGATACGGATGTAGTATGAACGGACCTTTAGGGACAATCTTATCGTAACGCATCGCACGACAGTGGCAACCTAGCATTAGAACTTTGACATTTTAAAATTTATGAAAACAAAGTTCAGATATATACCGAGCGCCATGGAAAACGCATCACTTAGTTTTTCGTATAACAAAATGATCCTGTAAACATATCTTATTTATTTTGCTTCTTATTGTGAACAATATTCAAATGGGAACACATCAATAACAACACATTTGTACACTTATGGATGTTTAATCTGTAATCAAGGGTACAAAGTCAGAGGGGTCAAAACCAAAAGTACGACACAGATGTCAGTAGCGCGTGTGTCCTCCACGGGCTATCATCACGGTAGGCTACAGCATTAACGCGACCCCTGCAAATGTGTAGGGCGGTCCGGTGATGAAATGTGAAGCCTCCCCACACCATTACACTTCCCCCACCCCATCGGTTCGTTTTGAAGATGCAGCAGTCTGCAAGACGTTCCCCAAGACGTCTCCACACACGTTGACGGCCATCAGCGTGATAAAGATGAAAGCGACTCTCATCACTGAAGAGCACACTTTGCCAGTCTACTCTTCTCCAAGTCTGGTGTCCTTGAGCCCATATCAAACGCCGCTGACGGTGATGATCCCTGAGGATAGCTCCAACTTCTCTTAGACGACGTCTTACGGTGTTGGCACTTACTGGTCCTTGTCTTCCGACGACTGCTGCACCTGTTCGAGTCGCTGGGCGGAATCTGTCACGCAGATGAGTGACCCAGATGTAGCGGTCTTGAGCCTGGGTTGTAACACGTTGTGGACCAGGACGTTGACGGTCACGTGTTGATCCAGTAACTCGAACACGTTCCACCAACCTTACAATAGTGGACTGATGACAATTGAAGTGTCTGGCAATAGCACGTGTAGACATGCCAGCCCTGGACATTCCCATGGCTTCATTCCGTTGATTTTCAGTAAGTCTCGACATCTCTAGCTCGATTTCTTCACACGTCCATGTACTGCACATTCAGTTGAAAACAAGCTTTTAAAGGGCTCACACACAATGCTGTACGTGAATATTGGGTTTTCATGTGCATCTCGTGGTTTTTTTGTGCACACGGGGCGATATTTTTTGCGTTTGGGGGCATTGTGTGAAACAATAGTTCATAGTATTGCATAATATTATACATACAAAACCACCTAGTAATAAAATATTTGGGAAAAAAAAGTGATGCGTTTTCCATGGCGTTCAGTAATCGTGCAGCATTAAAAATTAATAGTGTTTTATTAGCTTTTTTAGTGAAAACTCGGTGTAATTGTTTTTGGCTCCATGGGCGTGTCCGAATTAAACAATGAAGTTCTTTTGATACAGTTACACCGCGCAAACAATCATCAGTGGTCCATCTATGCATGGGTTGAAAAAGAAGTAGCAAAAACTGATATATTAGATCAGTAAAAATATTGTTTTTGGCTCCATGGGCGTGTCCGAATTAAACAATGACGTTCTTTTGATACAGTTACACCGCGCAAACAATCATCAGTGGTCCATCTATGCATGGGTTGAAAAAGAAGTAGCAAAAACTGATATATTAGATCAGTAAAAGTATTATGAATTGAGTTCTGTTTCTTTGCCTTTGAACTTAGTACCGGTAATTGCACCATGGGCTTTGTAACAAATCTAAACAAACTAAAATTATACGGTCTATTACAGTAGTAACATCATTCTCTCCAGACTGATAACATCAGCCTCTCTGGAGTTATATCATAATCTTCTCCGGAGTACAAACGGAAGCCTCTCTCTCTATAGTAATAACAATAGATCACTCTAGAGTACTAACACATGCCTCTAACACGTGCCTCTCTGGAGTACTAACACTGTTAGGGTGCCCCGTGCAGCGAAATTTCCTACAGAAAGTTGAACTCGACACGGCGAATGTGCACGCTTCAGTGGCTTGTCTCGAAGTAATTTCTTGCTAATCACGCAGTGAAAATAATACTCAGCGCTAGAGTCTGAGTCTATAAATAGCTATCGCACGTGCAATTCTCTACACATCTATCAACTATTACAGCCGTAAAAAAATCCATTGTTGACGATTCTGAATAACAGTAATATTTAGCTTTTTGGTTATTACAGCAGCTTTAGAAATTATGTTCGTTTTATTTTTTAAATTGCTTTATCATTAACTGTACCGTTCGGAGCAGCATCTTTTGGTTTAGTACAAATAATATCTCTGAAACAAGGGGGTTTGGCAAGAATATGATACTAGCAGTAGTTTCATTTTACTTTTACAAGGTTCTTAAAACAATTGTTGAGTTGCCTAACGTGTGTGTTTCTAAATTCAATTTCTTGTTTCAGCTTTCTGTTATGTTTCGTAAAAAAGTAGTCTTGATTATCCCGGCCTGTCAATCTGACGTAGAATGGTCGGTAGACTGGTTAAGCGAGACTAATTTCAGAACAAGGGCACGTAACCTATTTTTTGCACAAAAGTGCCCGGATGTTATGGCCATTGCTTATTAAGTACAACATGACCGTTGTTTTACTGACTATAAATGTGTGAAACTGATTTAAGGCTTGGTATATATATAAATATTGTGGTGTAATTGTCGAGATATTTGTAGATATTTATTTATGGTGGAGCGCCCTACTAACACAAGTTCGTCTATAGTATTGTCACATAACGTTTGTTAAAACAATCGTTATATGATAATAGGAACTGTCCAAATCGAGAACAAAGTTGAGGATTTTCACGGTAGCATACAGCACCAGCTTAACACACCCGTCCTTGGGCTTCAAAACACTATTCGAGTTGTAAAAAGGATATAAGTCCGGGTCAAACGTTAAGAAATGATCAAAATAACAGGAATTGGGGTATATTAAATAAGTGGATATCAAGTCTGGGGTGCCTACATGTTCAGCTAAGATACTATGGATGGAGTCACCCGACACATTAGTGACAATGACTGGCCTGACAAAATTACAGAACTTAGTTTGGTGGTGTATTTGATTACTACTTGAGCTATAAAAAATAATGCAGAAATGATTGGCTTAAATCGTCCTGACAATGTATTTTTAGAAAAGCCGCTATATGTTTGGGAATATTTACTTGTAGATTTTGAAAATCATTAAGTAACAAACCCAAATCTCACATGTACTTCGTTTTTGCAAATGAGTAAAGATATGCAAATTAAAGATCAAAATGTACAGAGATATCACATCTTTGTAAGTAAGTAAATAAGTAAGAAAAAGTTTATTTTTATTTAATCTGATTGTACATTCCTTTCAACAGTCAATGTTTCTGCCGTTTGGGTGTCTTACTTTGTTATTTTGTTTGTTATTTTGCTCAATCAAACCTATTCGTTAATGCCTTCCAACGTAATATGCTTATTAAAGAAGTTATTTTTATCAACAAACGCGTGAAACCTTCTTTCAACAGTCACTGTTTCTGTCGTTTGGGTGTCTTAGTTTGTAATTTTGCTCAGTCACTTCCTATTCTTTAATGCCTTCCAACGTAAAATGCTTATTAAAAAAGTAATCGCTACTCATGTACTTAAAAAATAACGATTTGGGAATTTCTATTGGATACGTTGTGGGTGGCGTGGTTAGAATATAAGATAATCGTCCATATATAGCCTTTTAATATGCCGCATTGCGGTTCTAGATAGGCCATTCATGAAAAAAATAAACACTCAGGACACAAACCGCAACTTTTTTTTTTTTAGTTTTAGTGTCGGTTTTAGTAATGTGCCACTGGTGTAGCTGAACCAGGCCCCCTCAAAAAAAAGGGTCCTACAATAAATGACAAAAGACAAACACACAAACAGCAAGACAGACTAGAGATAATAATTATAATAATTTATTACTTTTAGTAATATATAGTGTTCAATACACATTTTAATGGAATTGTCCAGGATATTGAGATCAGAAAATTTTAATTTCAGCATAGTTCTACGTTTTGTTTTCTTTCGAAAGATAGCACTTTCTTTTACGGCTGTGTATCGGTTTTTTAAACAATAAATTTTCAGTGTTTAGGACCTCGAAAGGGCTGCATCCCTCCCACATTGTAAATAATCAAAGTTAAAAGCACTAGAAATGTTCAAATATGATACATCCCTACGTTGTTGAAAATACGGAATATGTATTTAGTATTGGGTGGTATTGGGTAGTACTGGATATTGTCATGCCCTTGAAATACATAAAATGTCATTTTAATATAGAAAAGAATATAATAATATTACCTCGAACATTACACTTTTTAAATATACGGTTCATAATAATAATAAATTATAAAAATAAAAAAAGATAAGTATGTTTTTAAAAAAATCAGAAAGGAGGCCACCCAAAGCGTTAAAATACGCCAACACAGCGGCAGTCACGATAGCAGCTTATCCGAAAGGAAACTTAGATGTTGACAAAATGGTATATTTCTGCAAAAAGGGGATAATTGAAAGTTACAGAATACTGAAGATCGTTGAATCTGATTTCATTTCATTTCACTTCCTCGAAAGGCCACAATGATTCAAAAACTGTAGACTTTATCACGTTCACAAGCTAGTTGTTGCTTCACACCAAATTTGAAAAAAAATCAGTCGCGTTCGCAAGCCACTTGTTGACGTACGGACGGACGAACAGGGTGGCAACATAATACGCCCACATCGAAATGTCGGCGTATAAAAAATTCTTGTTTATCACAATACCTTCTAGAAGACCTAAAACTATACTTCATAGTTGAGCTCTGAATATCACCTGAAAAATACAGTTATAAAAAGTATTAAGAATAACAAAAAAAACCTTATATGATTTCTCAGATGTATTTTGATGTTAGAATTGATAAAGTAATAACGTTCTGAATCATACATAGTTTTTGCGAAAAATCGCCACGCCGGAAAATCTGGATGAACTTTCTCGGCCAATGCAGGGATCGAACACCCGACCTCCAGGCTAGCGAGCCAGCGCCTTACCCACTTAGCCACCAAATGGTGTTTAACTGTTCTCCTCCGAACTTGGCTAATGAAGACGAGTGTTCTATGAGTGAAATTTTGCCCGGACAGCGGCACTACGGCCTACTCTTATATCGAATTCCAACTGTCAAGGGATCTTTTACGTGCACGCGAATGTGTACACGGGACCTCAGTTTTTCGTTCCATGCATCACTGGCAACCGAGAACCACGCCGGAAAATCTTGATGAACTTTCTCGGCCAATGCAGGGATCGAACACCCGACCCCCAGGCTAGCGAGCTAGCGCCTTACCCACTTAGCCACCGTGATCCCCATGATGTATAATAGATGTGGTTTTATAATAAGGTGGTGTATGTATATATATATAATAGATGTGGTTTTATAATAAGGTGGTGTATAATAGATGTGGTTTTATAATAAGGTGGTGTATAATAATTGTGGGTTTATTATTAGATGGGGGGGGGGGGGGGGTTTAACGCGTGCGCGTTTAATCAGAATGCCTGTCATAATGCCCGACGCCTAAGTGAATTATTGATATAAAATTAAACAATATGTTAGTCCCGAAATGGCATAGTTTGTCTTGAAATATAGGTCTATCTCCCAAAGATCTCGGTTCCTTGCGATAGTGGCTTGTATCTGACCATAATTCCATGGATTGTACGGAAAAATCACGTTTTTAGCTTGTGGACACTCTAGAGGTTACAATTTTCATCTAGTTTTGATGAAACTTGATATGCATGCTTATAACCCACAGATCTTGGTTCCTTTCGATATTCGAGCATATCGGTTTGTAACTTTCTGAATTATGGCCTGTGGTTGTACGAAAAATTGCGTTTTTAGATTATGGTCCCTCTAGAGGTCATAATTATGACGCGATTTAAAACAAAGGTTCGAATATATCACCGTTACACTATAATGTTAGTTGAGTTTAAATTTCGTGAAAATCGGCCGAAAACTGCCGGACAAAATGACCGCCCCTCGTACGCAAATAGTGTAAACATATGGTATATCAAGGTTGTGGACCCTCTTAGAGACCACAATTTTGATCCGATTTTGATAAAACTTGAAATACATGTTTATAGCCTAAACATCTTGGTTTATTTCGATATTCGCGCATACCGGATTGTACGAAAAATCGCGTTTTTAGCTTGTGGTCTCTCTAGAGGTCACAATTTTTATCCGATTTAAAAAAAAAACATGTGAATATATCACCGTAACACCCTAATGAGGGTTGAGTTCCAATTTCGTGAAAACCGGAACAAAACTGCCTGACAAAATGGGGCTCCTTTTACGCAATAGTCTAAAAGTATGTCATAGCACGGTGGACCCTTTGATTATGATATAACTTAAAATATATGTACATGTATATGTCCAAAAGATCTCGGTTCCTTTCACTGTTTGCGCATATCAGACTGTAACTTCCTGGATTACGGCCACTGATTGTACGATTGTGGATTCTCTAGAGGTCAAGATTTTTCACCCGATTTTAAAATCCGTTTAAATATATCACCATTCTACCGTAATAAAGGCTGAATTCGAATTTCGGCAAAATCGAAACGAAAATGGCCTCTCTTTGTACGCAAATTGTGTAAAAGTATGTAATACGACAATTTGATTAAAATACAGATCTATATTTCTTTTCGTTTTTTATACTTTCAATGGCCTACACTACATGAAGATCTGACCGGTTGTACTGGAAGGTCGCGCCAGGGGTCATAGAGCGACTTTTGACCCTATGCCGTCAGACATTAATTAATCCATCAGCGCTGACGTTTCTAGTGGTTTACCTACAAATCCCGTGCATCAAACGCCAAGAACTCGCCGAAACAGAACGTTTCATTTGCTAATCCCTCACTTCAACCAAAACGCAAGTAATATAACATCTCTTCCAGATCCTAGTGTAGTAAAGACAAGTAAAGCGAAATTTTGAACTACATATATAAAAAACGAAACAAAATAGGATCTGTGTTTTAATCATATTGGTAATATGAAGATTATGGACCCTCTAGAAGTCACAGTTTTTATCTGATTTTGATGAAACTTAAAATATATTTTCATATATCCCAAACATCTCTATCCCTTTTGTTTTTAGCTTGTTCTCTATCCACCTCTTGCAAAAGGTGGGTGTATCTCGCCTGCCTGGCAACCGCTGGTTTATTATAAGATGATGGATAATATCCGTGTGGTCTTATTATAAATATATATATATTATAAGATGATGTATAATAGTTCTGGTTTTGTGGTTTTTATTGTAAGATGATGGATAATAGATGTGGTCATATTATAAATTGATGTATAGATGTGGTTATATTATAAGGTGATGTATAATAGGTGTGATTAGGTGGTGTATAGTAGGTGTGATTTTGTGAGAAGGTTGTGTATAGATATGATTTTATTATGAGATGAGGTAGAGATATGGTTTTATTATTAAGGTGGTGTTTTTTAGTATAACATGATGCACAGTTTGGGTTTTATTATAAGATGATCTATAGTTTATGTTTTACAAGTTGGATTACGAAAGATGTGGTTGTATCATCAGATGCTGTATAATAGGTTTAATATTGTTACAAATTGTTGTGGCAGTTTATATAATATATGTGGTTCTATTATAAGGCGGTGTATAATAGATGATGTTGTTAATGTTAGATGATATATATCTTTGGTTTCTAATATAAGATGGTGTATAATTCATGTAGTTTTATTATAATAGATGTCGGTTTATATAAGAATATGTTAAGATGTTGTTTATTATAAGTTGGAGTACAAATGATAAGGTTTTGTCATCAGATGCTGTATACTAGATGTGGTTTTACTGTAAGATGTTGTTATTATAAGATGATGTCTATACAATGTGGTTTTGTCATAAGATGATGTATAATAGATGTGGTTTTATGATAAGGTGATGTATAATAGTTGTGGTTTTATTATAAAGTGGTGTATAATAGAGGTGGTTTTATTGTACGATGATGTATAATAGATGTGTTTTTATAATAAGGTGGTGTATAATAGATGTAGTTAATTATTATAAGGTGGTGTATAATAGATGTCATTTTATTATAAGAATGTGTAAAGATGTTGTTTTATTATAAGTTGGAGTACAAAAGATGAGGTTTTTTTTCACCAGATGCTGTATAATAGGTTTATTGTTGTTGTAAATTGCTGTGGTAGTTTATAATAGACGTGGTTTTATTATAAGGTGATATATAATAGATGTGATTTTATTATAATATGGTGTGTAGTTTTGGTTTTTATTATATGATGATGTATAATCGATGTTGTATTATTATAAGATGGTGCATAGGTGATGTATAGATGTGTTTACATTGTAAAATGGTGTAAATGTATAATAGATGTGGTTTTATCATAAGGTGGTGTAAAATAGATGTAGTTTTATAATAAGGTGTTGTATAATCGATGTGGTTTTATTATAAGGTGGTGTATAATAATTGTGGTTTTATTATCAGATAGGGGGGGGGGGGGGGCGAACGGTTAACGCGTGCTCGTTGAACCAAAAAGCTGGTATATAAAAGATGTGGTTTGGTGTGGTTTCATTATAAGTTGATGTATAGCTGATGTAAAGACGTGGTTTTATTAACAGATGTTGTTATCAATAATATAAATGATTTGATTTTATTATAAGTTGGTGTTTGATAGATGTGGTTTTATTGTAAGATGATGTGTAGATGGGATTTTATTATAAGGTGGTGTATAAATGATGTGGTTTTATTACACGATGATATACATATGTGATTTTATTATAAGGTGGTGTATAATTGATGGTGTGTAGATGTAATTTTATTATAAGGTGGTGTATAAATGATGTGGTTTTATTACATGATGATGATTCTATTATAAAGTGTTGCATAAATGATGTGGTTTTATTACACGATGATATACATATGTATTTTAATATATGGTGGTATATAACAGGTTTGATTTTATTATAAGGTGGTATATAAATGATGTGGTTTTATTGTAAGGTGGTGTATAATAGATGTGGTTTTATTATAAGCTGCTGTATAATAGATGTGGTTTTATTATAAGGTGGTGTATAATAGATAGGGCTTTATTATAAGGTGGTGTATAATCGAGGTGGTTCTATTATAAGGTGGTGTATAATAGATGTGGTTTTATTATAAGTTGATGTATAAAGGCTGTGGTTTTTATAACAAAATTTCTTATAAGCTAGTAAATAATAGGTGTCATTTCTTGTCTGCGATATCACCTCTGGGGAAGCGGGTGTTAAATAAATCCATTGATGGTGTATAATTGATGGTGTGTAAATGTGATTTTATTATAAGGCGTGTATAAATGATGTGGTTTTATAACATGATGATGATTCTATTATAAGGTGGTGTATAAATGATGTGGTTTTATTACACGATGATATACATATGTATTTTAATATATGGTGGTTTATAAATGGTTTGGTTTTATTATAAGGTGGCGTATAAATGATGTGGTTTTATTGTAAGGTGATGTATAATAGATGTGGTTTTGTCATAAGATGATGTATAATAGATGTGGTTTTATTATAAAGTGGTGTATAATAGAGGTGGTTTTATTGTACGATGATGTATAATAGATGTTGTTTTATTATAAGGTGGTGTATAATCGATGTGGTTTTATTATAAGGTGGTGTATAATACATGTTGTTTTATTATAAATTGATGTATAATGGCTGTGGTTTTATTACAAGATTTCTTATAAGCTAGTATATAATAGGTGTCATTTCTTGTCTGCGATATCACCTCGGTGGAAGCGGACGTTAAAGCTATTTCACACA